TAATTATCCAACATAATATCTATATGCTTAATATGCTTAATATGTTTGTCTGGATCCTCCATTCCATCATAACTCTAGCTTCACGGGTTTTTCGCGAGTATCTGTTTTGTTAGCGAGTTGCTCTTTTGATTATCTAGCTTGTGCTTATGCGCCACGTTGTTTCTTCTTTTAGGATTGTATGATGGAGATCAATGATGATGATAGTCATCTGGTGGTGTGTGGCTCCCGCCTATTCCTTTAGAACCACAAGGCATATTGTAACGCCCATTTTAATTATTTGAGTTTTCAGTGTTATTTCATTTTTCGGCGTGCTTGGTGTGGAATTTATTTGAGAAGCTATGGTCCATAATATTAGAATAATATGATTATTAATAATAATAATATGATATTTAGTAGTGTTGTTGCTATTATTATTATTATTATTATTATTATTATTATTATTATTATTATTATTATTATATTTAAAAATATTATTGGAATTATTAATTTTTGAATAAAAGAAATGAGGATTTAATATTTATTTGGAATTATTTGGAATTAAAAGGGGTTTTGGGATATTGAGGGCATAAGGGAAAAATTAGAAATAGAGAAAAGAAGAACACGAACCCGATGGAGAAAGGAAGCACGGTGAAAGAAGCTAGCAAGAGTGAGAGCACGGTTAAACAAGAGCAAGCAAGAGGAAACTAGGCTGTGGATTCTTGAGGTTCCTTCGTCGGAGCTGCATTTGAGGTAAGGGGGGGGGGGGATAATCGGTTAAATTCCGGTATTGCATGAACATTTAGTAGAAGGGGATTTCCCTAACCCCATTGATGAATGATGAACTAAATACTATGTTGTGTTGTGATTCTAAATGTTGCTAGCATGAATTAATTGTTGCATGTGTTGTTCGGATGAATTTGGGGTTTCCGGTAGTTTTCCGTGTTAAGCCGGAAGTTGATTAATTGAGTAGAGCTGAGGTTTTACCAGATGGAATTGAGAATAGATTTTGGAGTTAAGCCTTAGAATGTTGGTTAGTCGTGTTAGAAGTTGATTTTTGGTAACATCGGGCGAGTTCGGAGAGAATGGCTGATTCTGATCAGTGAGACTTTTCTGAAATCGCAGGCATTCGCTGGGCGAATGAGGGGGTGAGTCTTCGCCAGGCGAACCGGCTAGCGAGTCTGCCAGTAGCCTCTGTTTGTGTTCGCCAGAAGTTTTGTCGGGCGAGTTTCAGCGAGTGTTTGCTGCAGGGCTTCGCCAGACGAATGGTCAGCGAGTGTTCGCTGCGGGGTTTCGCCAGGCGAATGTGCCAGCGAGCCCGACAACAGTTTGTATTTTGCTGTTGTTCTGTGTTGATTCCTTTGTGATTTTGGACCCTTGTTGGTCATGTTTAATGATGAACTTATTAGTGAGCTATGTGAGTGTATGTATGGTGTCAGAACATGATTCCGTGATATCCGTGTGATTATGATATTTGCATTAGTGTATGTTATGATGTATGACTGTGACGATGGGTGAGATATATTTGATATATGATAAATTGTGATCAGTAGGATCGTGTGCACCTTGTGTGCTTAGGTTTGTGTGTTGTGTGATGAGTGGATCAGTAGGATCGATACGCTTTATATGCGTTGCGTTTATATGCTGTTGTGATGAGTGGATCAGTAGGATCGATACGCCTTGTATGCGTTGTATTGATGTGTTGTGTGAGGAATTGGATCAGTAGGATCGGATGCACTTTGTGTGCTTGGTGTGTATGCATTATATGATGCGATGGATCAGTAGGATCGTGTGCACCGTGAGTGCTGTGTTGTTGTGCATAATGTCTGCATAGCATGTGGACGTGGTGAATCATTGCTCGGTGGAGTGTATGTGATTCACTCACGTGCTCCAAGTGGGGAGCGTGGACGTGGTGAATCATTGCTCGGTGGAGTGTATGTGATTCACTCACGTGCTCCAATTGGGGAGCGTGGACGGGAGTTGAATCGTTGCTCGGATGGAGTGTACGCGATTCACCCGTGTTCCAAGTGGGGAACGATGGTAGGGATAGATCGTTGCTCGGATGGAGTGTATGCGATCTATCCTGAGATTTGATTATATCGGCTCAGGAGGAGCGTGGTAGGGATAGATCGTTGCTCAGATGGAGTGTATGCGATCTATCCTGAGTTGAGTCGGTACCGCATATTGTTGAGTTGTGTTGCATGTGTTGTATGTGTTATATATGTTGCATGTGTTGTATGTGTTATATATGTCTGAATATAATGTATATGAAATGATGTGTATATGTTTCTGCCTTTTATTTCATGTACATTTATACCGTTAATAATTTGATCGTGATTTCTCACCCCTCTGTTGTTGTTGTGGTCTGTGCTTCTTCGGAAGTACAGATAATCCAGGTGTTTAGCTAGCTTGGGTTGTGGCGATGTCGTAGGGATTGCTCTGATACGTAACACCGGGGTTTTTGGGAGTATTATGTTTGTTGATGATTTCGGGTGCCCCTGTGGCGTATCATATTCGTTGGATTGATGATTGTTTTGCATATTTTGGGCAGATGGCCGAGTTGTTGTACATATGATGATATATATATATATATATATATATATATATATATATATATATATATATATATATATATATATATATATATATATATATATATATATATATATATATATATATATATATATATATATATATTATGTGTTTATGACAGATTCATTTTCCGCTGCAACTTTTGTTGAAAATCATTTTTAAAGAATTTTGTGGAATTTTGTTGAAAGAAGTGACATCCCGTTTTTGAGGGAATACACCGATAATTGTTGATTTATTTGTATTTATTTTATTTTGGGGAACGGGGTGTTACACATATTAGGTATCCTCGATGTAGATTATGGTCTGGCAATCTAGGGGCCTCCCTATGTGGCAAAGTAATGTCGACGAGGATAGACTGTAGTTCGAGTCTCTTGTCGTGTGATAGGATCTCAGGTACAAAATTATCCTTATGGGAAACGAACAACAAGTTTTCTTTTATCTGTATTTTCTTAGCAAGGAAGTGTGAATTCTATTATTGCATTAAATTATAGACATTGTTTAACATATGCTTTTCCCCTCGCATGCCTAAACTAGTTTGTCGTTGTTGGATAATGTGGAGTATTTCATGTTTAGGAATCATAGGTTGGGACGAAGGCTTCTTCGATGTTTGACCTTGAAGTAGCTGTAGAGAAGGTTGAAAGGTTGAAAGATTTTAGTAGGTCCCTTGTCAACTGTTGGAGGTGCTAAGTTTTGCAGCTTTGAAATTATGGGAGGAGTAACTAAGACTGTAACATCTTCATCAATGGAGGAAGTGGATCCTTTCTCACTGGATTGAGAGAGTTGGTTGTGGTAATGGTCGTGGCAGAGGTGTTGTATGGGACGGTCAAGCAAGATGCTTTCGATGCTGCCATGATAGTAGGAACTATATCGAAGATTTGTATGAGTAAAAGGTTAATGCTTTGAAAGAGGAAATGCTGGTGATTTGAAAGAGAAAAGATCGACGATTTGAAATCATGTAAAAAAAATGGTGGTTCTTTGTGAAAATTCACGAGAATCATAAGTTGATCCCCAAACGACGACACTATTTAAAATTAGAAGCAAAAATAGGTGGAAATTGAATGGAACAAATTATGGTGCAGTGGAGTAAGCTTTTGGTACGATGAATATGAGGTGAACTTGCAAGACCAACAATGCAAGATGAGTAATCCAACACCTAAGTTAGTGAATGAATGAGAAAATAGTTTGAAGGTGTGAATGAGAGGATACCTGAAATAACACATGCTAAGCTTTATATAGTGTGAGTAGTTAAAACCGTTTTTGTGAGATCTGACACCTCGCGTAAGCTGTCGTTCGATTAGATCTAAAGGTGAAAAATATGTTAGAGACCAAAATTATGTGTCCTCGACTCGGGTGAGGTCTCACGTGTTCTGCGTGTAACTCTGTGCAATACTTATTATTGGACCTTTCATCGTGAGCCTTACAAGAGTCCCTTAACATCCATCATTCCTCATAATTGATAGCAAATCTAACTCTTAAAAGAGTCATCCAAGAACATCTCCCCCAATTTTGTCGCAACGACTAAATGAACAAAGATAGAAATTACGAAGAGCATACTAAAGGTCATAACTATTATAAATAGAAATTTCATCCTTCAAATATAACACACATTTTACAGTTTCTCTTAAACATAGGGGTGATAAAATGTGTGCGGTCTACTGGGCACGCCCTTTTTTACTTGCACTTTTGTGTGAGATAGACTAAAATTTTGAATTTGCATCCTCTAATATGTCTGTCCCGCCTTTTTTTTTTTTATAAAAATTTTAAACTTTAAATATAAATTGCATACGGATCCACCCTACGACATCCTTATTTTTTTTATATCACGCCAAAATTTCCTTAACTATATTCATCTCACTTAATTTTTTCAAAATTTTAAGGAGATAGATATGGTCATTTCTCATTGATAGTTAAGCATCTCAAGTTACTTTGAAGCCAAACATCTTTTTGGTTACACTCTTTAATGAAAAGAATCTTTTAAAAACTCAAAAAAGAAAGAATTTAACTCCACTAAAATGAATAAAGTATACTCATCTAAATTAAGCAAATTGTTATTTTAACAAACATATGTCACATATCCACATTTTAGAGAAGTGGAATCTAACCAATAATACCATGATAAACTTCAATTTATTGGAAAAGGTATCTTTACAACAAATTAGAAGCGTAAATTACACACTACATCCACTTTCCCCACACCGCCAAATAATCCGAATATAAAACTTGAAAACACATAACAGATTCAAAGTACCACTCACCTACTTCACTTTTTTATTGTTCTTTCTCTTTCCTTGGTTGTGGGAGAATTTCAGATTCTCTTATTCAAATCTCTCATCAATATATATAACTCACTCCAAATTTCTTGACTCTCCATATTTTTTCAATCACTCTCCAAATTGTACATACTTAGATTATATACATACATAAAATCAAATATGGATGATGAATATGCTAAGCTCATAAGGAGGATGAACCCACCTAGGTATTATTATTCATGTTTCTAAGAAGGGTGTTTTTGTTTTGTTTTAATTTGGAAGTTGTTATCAAGTTGAGAATGAAATTTAGCTTCTTTTAAGCTGTTTGTTTGTGTAGATCTTTGCTTGATTCTTCCTTTGAAATTGGAGGGTTAAAATCAATATGATATCTATGGATTTGTATGTGTGTTGGATTGATATTGCTTTGTCTAACTAGCTTCTTTGCTATGTAGGGTTGTGATTGATAATAATGCATGTGAAAACGCCACTGTTATTAAGGTATTACTTGTAACTTTTTCCTTCTTTAGATTATGTTAAGCATGTAGGGTTGAGTTTGGTTCAGCCACAGTTCGTATTAGAGTCTTGGTTTAAGATTCAGGGTCACCTGCTATCAGGTTTCTGCTATCGAGTCATTCACTGTTTATTTCCACGCTCCAGATGTCCTGTTGTGGGCATGAAAGTAAAGTGTGTGTTAAGAGTCTCACATCGTTCTGAATGCTTATATGATTGCTTGTTTTGCAGGTTGACAGTGTTAACAAACATGGGATACTTTTGGATGTAGTCCAAGTTATTTCAGATATGAACCTTGTGATAAAAAAGGCTTATATCTCCTCTGATGGGGTTTGGTTCATGGATGGTAATTTCCTCTTTAAACTATTGGAAACAAAACAAATTTATAATAACTTTGCTTGTGATCCTAGTGTATTAATTTGATTTTTGTGTTTTTTTACAGTGTTTAATGTGACGGATCGTAATGGAAGCAAGATCAAAGATAAGGAAGTCATTGATTATATTCAGAGGGTAGGAAGTTGTGTATTTGCCATTTCTTGAATGCTTCAATTGACGCTTATTTTTGTTGCACCATCTCTGTGGAAGGGTGATTTTACCGTCCTTTGCTAGAAATCTTCAAGTTAAGTAAGCAGGACAACGGTATTAGAAAATATGATGATGTGAATTTGGTTTTGATTTTGGTAACACAATCAATCCCTGTGAGCTTTTGCATCGTTTTACCCTTGTTTTCTTCGTGTTGTTTGATTATAATTTGTTTTCTTTACAAAATTCCTTTGGTTTTCTGTATTCTTTGAACAAAGGGTCTGTATATGAATCCGCTGGATTCATCTGGCAGACATACAGTTTGTAGCCCATGTAACTGAGGATGATAAACTCGCCTTATCGCTGCCATGCCAATTTAATTCATAGATTTTAAGCTCTGTAGCATCGACATCTTTGAAAAAAAGTGTGTCTGTGTCAGTGTCGATGTCCAAAACCGATACTGTCACTTGTGATTATGTTTAATTTATTTACTTTTCAAATTATTACTTGTGTCAACGTGTCGGTGTTTCTGATTGTCTTACCTTTCTAATTTTGTAGAGACTTGAAAAGAATCCGAGCTTTGCAACGTCAATGAGAGAGTCTGTTGGGGTCGTACCGAGTGAAGAGCACACTGTTATTGAACTTACAGGCACAGACAGACCTGGTTTACTATCTGAAATCTGTGCGGTGCTCGCAGACCTTCACTGTAATGTGGTTACCGCCGAGATTTGGACACATAATACTCGGGCTGCAGCCGTAGTTCATGTAACTGATGATTCAAGTGAATGTGCCATCGAGGATCCGTCGCGTCTCTCCATAATAAAGGATTTGCTTTGCAACGTCCTCAGGGGAAGCGATGATCCGAAGACAGCTAGAACCGCGCTTTCACATCCTGGAGTTATGTATAGGGATAGAAGATTACATCAGATTATGTTTGCTGACAGGGACTATGAAAGGGTTGAAAAAGCAGGACTCAGAGAAAGAGATAAAAGTCCGTTTCCACATGTAACTGTCTTGGACTGTATCGAAAGGGATTACACCGTGGTTATCATGAGAGCCAAAGATCGACCAAAGCTATTGTTCGATATTGTTTGCACTTTAACTGACATGCAGTATGTAGTTTTTCATGGTGTGGTTCAGACAGAACGGACCGAGGCTTATCAGGTTAGCCGATATTTCGTCGTATGCTGTTGGGAAATGATGGTTCAACTTCTTGGTTATCTGTACTTTATATTCTTGTGAACTCGAATATTAATTTTTGCTGCATAAATTTTTATCTGATTGGATATTGTTCATGTTATTCAGGAGTTTTATATTCGGCACGTTGATGGCTTTCCGATAAGCTCGGAGGCTGAGAGAGAACGGCTTATACAGTGTCTTGAAGCGGCTATCGAGAGGCGGGCATCTGAGGTATGATACAATAATGCACCCGAGAGTTCTAGGCCTCGCTCCTATTCTTCTATGGTATACTAAGATATGCTTTTATGCAGGGGATGGAGCTGGAATTATGCACGGAAGATCGTGTAGGACTTCTCTCCGATATCACGAGGATTTTCCGAGAAAACAGTTTATGCATCAAAAGAGCAGAAATATCAACAGAAAATGGGAAAGCAAAAGACACCTTTTACGTCACCGATGTAACTGGTAACCCTGTCGATCTAAAGATTATCGATTCAATCCGCAGACAGATCGGCGACACGGTACTGCAGGTGAAACATAACTCTAGTCTTTCACCAAAGCCGCCTCAAGGAACAACAATTGGGTTTCTCCTTGGAAGTTTTTTCAAAAACCGATCTTTTCAGAATTTTAAGTTGATCAGATCCTATTCTTAAGTGTCCTCTCTTGTGTATATTCTCACTATTTTCACCATGTTTCAAGTCAAACAAAAAAATGCATACATGTAAAAGAAGCTGTATGGATCTACCTTCCTTCTTTTCTTAAAATTTCTACGGACTAGATACATTGATTATTCAATGAATTTAGAAAGTAAATTTTCTCATAAATAGGACCCGAGGAAGTATGTATTAGTCTAGTGTAAGTAGTTGTTTACAGTAACATATTACTTAGGTTGTGTTTGGTGTAAATATTGCTAGATTATCAAAATCCAAGATAGTAAATAGTACTTTTAGGTGGTGTAGTATGGAGTCCTTGTAAATATGAATGTGTAATTTGGAGTACATGTAAATTTAGCTATGTACATGAAATTGAATAGGAAAAAAAACTATGTAATGTATTCTAGTTCTCTCCCTCCCTGTCTGTTTTGTTGCACACCTATCGCAGCTGCTGTAAGGTACGAGCACCGACACAGATACCGACATAACAACACTAATTTGGTGTCTTTATTGTTCTAGCCAAGACTCGAATTCGAGTTCTTTCAAACAATTTGTGAAACTCATTAACCAACCACTTGAGCATGATCGCTTATATGTTTTTGGTGATTCACTTATTTCAAATTGCAGCTGTCCAAGTGTTATTTATGTTACTGGGGATGTCAATGGAGTGGGGTGGGGGCAGAGGATACATTCCATTTCAATTTCCGTTTTCAAATCTATTCTCCATTCTTGTTTTGGATCCCCGTTGCAAGGGATTTTGTCTCTACTTCCGTTCTTGCGGATCTCGACGGTTTTCGCAGAGATCTGTACATTTTAAATAATTATTGTTTTAAGTAAATTAATTGTTAAAAAAATTCAAAAACTAATTACAAGAATTTAAAAAATTAATCCTCTACTTCTATGTTCACACACACACACACACACACACACACACACACACACACACACACACACACACACACACACACACACACACACACACACACACACACACACACACACACACACACACACACACACACACACACACACACACACACACACACACACACACACACACACACACACACACACACACACACACACACACACACACACACACACACACACACACACACACACACACACACACACACACACACACACACACACACACACACACACACACACACACACACACACACACACACACACACACACACACACACACACACACACACACACACACACACACACACACACACACACACACACACACACACACACACACACACACACACACACACACACACACACACACACACACACACACACACACACACACACACACACACACACACACACACACACACACACACACACACACACACACACACACACACACACACACACACACACACACACACACACACACACACACACACACACACACACACACACACACACACACACACACACACACACACACACACACACACACACACACACACACACACACACACACACACACACACACACACACACACACACACACACACACACACACACACACACACACACACACACACACACACACACACACACACATGTACTGTGATAATTGAAAATAAGTGCAAGTGTGCTTCATTCTCTCTTCTTATTCTTCATCTCTTATATTCATTCATTCTAATTCAAAGGTGCAGGGTCTATGTAAGAACAAAGTTGAAGCAAATTTATGTGTATCATTCTTGTGTTTGTGTGATTGAATGCTTGAGTTTTGTCCTGACATTTGGTATTCAAAGCATCTTGTTCAGTTCTTTGTAGATTTTGAACAATGATTTCTTATCTAAATGATCTTTTCTAGGTAAATCTTCGCATTCTAAATGGAAAGAAATAGGAAAATTGACGTAAGATGAAAATGGTGTTCTGTTATCAAAATATATGGGATTTTGTAAAGAATAGTGTTATACCAATTAGTAATAGTGTAGTTGGTTGAAAATATAAGTATGAAAGCATAAAATCTCATCACTATGGATTCTAACTAATGTATTTCAATGTTATCACTAAGAGAATGATTAATCAATAACTTGAGTCAACTAGGACATTTCAAGTTGCTTAAACTAAGCAATTTAATATCTTAACTTAGATATGTTAAACACAATCAACTTAAGCATGATTTGATAGGTTTGATGCAATACAGACATATGTTTATACAATAAATCACTACAAACACGATCTAATACAAATTATGCTATGATTTAACTTCTACACGATGAATGACGAAAATTAAAGAGAGATAAGAAAGAAAGAGAGCACATACGCACGCGCGCACACACACACAGATACATGTGTGTGTGTGTAAGTTCGACAACCGACCTCACTATGCATACTCCACTCTTCAATAGTTTGAAACCATCGGAAAAATCATCATGCCTTCCACTAATTTCAAAAATTAATATACAAATATTTTGATATAATGAACTATCATCAATCCAAAAGCTAATAGTCACATTGCATTAGCTTATACACGAATCCAATGGCAGTTTATCTGTTGATGCAGATGCTCAATTGCTACGCATAAGATCCTCAATTATCTTGATCCAATAATCTTGATATCCATAATAACCTGCTCCAAGCTTCCTTTTTCAATCATTATTTTCTTAAATCTGACGAAGACTTGTATGATCGATTGTCATTAGCCTTGATTAATTGGATAACTTTCAACTTTGTTTTATGACAACCTTCAAATAGTTTCACCAAAGTATTTAATGGAGTATAAAGACACTCTTCTCTCTTTGTGAACAACACAAAAACAAAATCCATATCGAAGAAATGATTCTTCCACCTGATACACAAAAACATAACTTTAAAGATAAACATTAGATTCTCTAATATACCTTTGATCCACCAATCATACTCGATCTTTAGAGTTAAAGGTTCATAATAATAGTTCTTGACAAAGTATGAAGATGATGAATAATATATGAAGAATCTCACAGACATGGATAAAACTTGTAAGATCTACATTTTATGAGGTTAATTACAATGTATCAACAAAGAGTTAGGTGTTGGTGAATGAAGAACACACTCTAGGTTCTCTTAAGTTTCTTGATAAAAATGAGTTTCTACGTTCTTGGGTGATTGTTCTAAGATTGACTAATTCTATCACTGAGATTGATCAATTCCATCACTTTCTTTGAGTTTCTTGTTCTTCAATAAGAACACAACAATGATTCAAGAGATATGATTCCTCACACTTTTTTATGTGTTTTTGTCTCATGGGTGACACACAATCTCTATTGACAAAAAAAGAGAAAGATGGATAATGGTGCAAGAAGGTAGACAAACACTTTAGGAATGCTTCTCTCAAAAATTCTAAGACAAAGAGTTTAAAAAAATCATAAGGTAATGATTTGAATCAAAGAAACAATCAATTTGAATAAAAGGTTGGAAAGAAGGGGAAAATACCATGATTCGAGTCATGTGTACCTCATGATTTGACTTAAATAAAATGAGGCAGAGGCAAATTCGACCTTTCATGAAGCTTCATGATTCAAGTCACGCATATGTATGATTTAAATCTTATTTCCTTACAACCTTGATTCAAGTGCTATTACTTTTGATTCAAGCAATACTAATTATTTTGATACAAACCCAATTGCTAGGCTAAAAAAGGAGGCACAAACATGAACGCAACAACTAAGTCAATGAATCAAGAGGTTTATCAAAGGTACAAAGACTTAAATAGTCAAAGCGAACAAATATGAATACAACATATTATTCCGAATGAATTACAATAACAAAGCTATATATCAGAACAGTTATTTATACCAACCGTTGTTAAATGTTATGCATTACATCATATCACAACAATTGTTTAAAGTAACTGTTGTGGTATGTAGTGCATTGCATAACTTATAATCATGGTCGCACGATCATGGTGGAAAGCATCATACATACAATCACACATTACTTCACAATGGCTGGTCCAACATGGTAGTATCATTTTTCCAACCGTTGTGATATGTACCTTTTGTAGTAATGATTGTTGCATCAACTCCTTTTTCTTCATCGTTTTCGTTGATCCCAGTTTCTGCATAATTATTAAAGTCTCTCATTCTTTTCTTAATTGATCCAACATACCTCCGCATTTAGCACCAAACCACCAACCCGATTTTGAATCAATCTACTATATACATCTGAGTGAAGGTCCCAACTATGTTAACATTACTCCAAAACTCGATGGCGCTAACTAAGAGTGTGCAAAAAAACCGGTTATTTTTAGCCAAATTAATATTCAAATTATTCCACTTTTTAAAATCTAATCCCAATGCTAAAATATAAAAGCGGTTATCCATTTTGTTATCCATAAATTGGTATCCATAATAATAATAATAATAATAATAATAATGTAGTTTAGTTATTAGGTATCTAAATTTCGTTATGTATTAATTTACATGTTTATCTCTTTTCATGACTCATCGTGTGTGTGTGTGTATATATATATATATATATATATATATATATATATATATATATATATATATATATATATATATATATATATATATATATATATATATATATATATATATATATATATATATATATATATATATATATATATATATATATATATATATATATATATATATATATATATATATATAATGTAATAATTTTATTCCCTTTAAATTAATTTAAATTTTGAATTTAAAATTTTATTTTAAACAATTAATTATTAAATTGAAATGAATTTATTAATAATGTTATGTTTTGCAATCATGTGATTAGTATTTTTAAGCAGATTATTTTTAGTATTATGATATTGCATTCAATAACTTTAGTAAGCAGATAGTTGTTTTTAAGTTGTGCAAATTATTTCAATGGTTGGATTGGCAAAAACTGTTATATATAATAAAATTAGTATAGTAGTTGCTCAAAATACTAGTCGCGGGATAAAGATATTATCGCATCTAACTAATCGAAGAATATCAATGTTTTAAGTATTTAAATTTAAA